TTTCCCTAAAACATTTAACATTTAACAATGATCTTGGATTACAACCCTTTCTTTGGCTCTTTTTTCAGTTCCATCCAGATCTGTACCCAGATCTAGAAGCAACACAAGAACATGTCAACCCTGCTAGAATTTGCCTTGTCTAAAAAGGAACTATTTATCTGACAAATTTAAATACATATTTATTTACTGTTGTTAACATAGAGTGCATTAGTGCCAGAAGCTGCAATCTGATTAACACAGGCAGTTGGATATTCAGACAGATAAAGAGATATTATTTATGTGTAGATATCTATGTGTGTGTGTGAGAGAGAAAACATAATCTATGTCTAAATGGATGTCTATCTTATGTCTAAAAATACGCTTTCAGGCTCCTATTTGCAAATCTATAACCGAGAATTTGTGAACTTTCAGGTTATGGTATCAAAAAAGCTAAGTTACTTAGGAAAAGTGTGAAAAAAATGCTATCTGAAAATGTGTAAATGCATAGTTGAAATTTATTTTTTATTAAGCATGTTCTATATTTTCCTCAACTGAGCTACTATTAACTTGATGACTCCTGGTATGTGAAAATAAGGATCATTTTGAGGGATGATCAGAAAGGAATTTTTCAGATTAAAGAAGCACTTTTCAGTTTAGCCTTTCAATATTGATATATTTAAAATATTTTTACTCTTCCTGGTCAGTTGTCATGATTAGACTATTTTTATAACAACTTGGAAATTTATTTTATCTCCTTTAAAAGCCACTTGCTTTTTCAAGGCAGGAACACCTTTGATCTTTCCTAGATCAAGAAATTTTAAAATGTTAATGGAGTCAGTGGTTTCCTTGCCCTCCTTCCAAACAAATAGTATTAATTGGCTTTGAAGGTATTTCAGGCACTAGCTTTGCTGACAAAATGTAGAGAGCAAGGTCAGTCATTTCCCCTTAAAGTGGATGCAGTTGAGTGATTTCTTTGGCCTGCGGACTTTCCTTTTTCTTCTTGCTTTTCTATATTTTTCTTCTTAACTGCACAGTTTGTCAGTTGCCACAGAAAGGATATACATTTCTAAGCTGTTTTTAATAATATTTTGTATGCTGTTATTTAATTTTATTTCCTTACCTATCTTGAGATTTGTGCAGTATCTTTGCCTGTGGACAGTATCCTATTCAGGGTATTGAGCTATCCTATTGAGGGCTACTAATGCAGTTGGATCAAATTTGTCTGTTGCCCAAGAGTAATCAATACAACTGCAATGGTCAGTGGGACTGGACTTTGGAGAACAAACTCTGCTGAAGTTAATGATTTTGTAATGGTTCTTGGTGAATTGTCAACATTCTTTATTTTTCTAAAAACAGAGTTGGAAACCTCAATTTTTATTCTTTAGGTATGCCGTTATTTTTCTAAATTTACAGCATTTTGTTGCATAAACTGAGAGTTTAGCCTGTTTTTTGCAGACTACACAGCCTAGTGGGCTTTTTTTCCCCCTCTGATTTCCAAAAGAGTAAATTAGTTGATATTAGGTAGCAACTGGTAAAGTAAGGTAAAATGCCTGTAAGATAGATAACAAATTAATATTTTACCTTAGTTACAAACACAATGACAATTAATTATAAGCTTGATTTCTGAGAACTTTCTGTTGTTGACTTTCACAAATTATAGGTGACATCAGGTAGAAGTGTTAGATACCTGGGTGTAAACTATCAAGGTAGAGTTGTGGGGTTGCATTTTTCATTGCTAATTAAAAATCCTGAGGCTCTCAAGCTCTGATTCACATTATGTGACTACTCCTTTTGGTGAAGATTATCTGGCTGAATTTGCAGGGTCAGATACTTAATCTGTGAATTTCTCAGACTGTGGCTCTCCACTGTCATTTTATCCAAGCAATATGTATAATCACTGTAAACAGAAACAACAGTAAAGCTGATAAATTACAGCATATATATTATTATGAGTCCAAACTACAAAAAGTATCCTCCTTCTCTTACCTGGAATATGAGATGAAGTAAATATGATTTTAAAAAAAAATTTTAAACTGTGGCTTGGCAAGGCTGTATATTATTCATATAAGACAGATTAATTATGTGAGATACCTTTTCTTCAGTTTTTCACTAAGTGGAATACACAGGATGTATCAACACAGCAATGATGGGTTTTGTCCTATAAAAAATTATGGTATAGTAGTTTCTTTAAGTAGATAGTGGATGCGTTGTGTTTTCTGTTACAATTGGTGCCTATAAAGGTTTTTTTTTCCTAATATTTGTTTGGAATCTTTAGCTATATGCCATTTTTATAAGATGGATGTTAATGTGAGAGACAATTACATAAATGATAATACAAGGAATGGAACTGTTATATTCTCTGTAGTGTGCATTATAGTGTAACTTATTGGGGAAGGAATGTGTTGAACTATTACCTCATCTATCTAAAATGTTTTAAAAAATTTGGAAAATTTTTCTCAAGGGAGCCAGCAACTATGTAACAGTGTAATCCAAATAATTAGGCACACTTATTCACTGAGCATTCACACAAAGTCACTTGCCTTATATGGAATTTTCTCTTCTGTAATATGATTTTAAGTTGCTGTTTGATACATATGTTTTCCACATATATTGGAAGTTTTTATGGGAAGTTGGAAAAGGTCTTTTTATTTCTAACTTTTTACTTTTGCTGTTGTAAAAATAGTTTGAGAACTCTTTTGTTCTACGATACCAAATTTCACAACCCACTACAAAATTTTGAAAATCACAGAACCTTCTGAAGAATGATGATGATTTCTTGCCTAGTGCAGTATTATTGGTGTTCTTTATTCTGATTTACTGGTGTTTGCAAAGGCACTTGCAGCCACAAAAAGATTACATGTGGAGGGAGTATGTTACAGATACATCAGATGTACACAGTAAACCTAGAAATGCTTTGCGTTTCTGCAAAAGGCATGATAAATGTTAAAATCAGATACTTAATAGCTTAATTTTTCTTGCTTGTTGATTACTGAAATGACACAGATGTATATATGCCTGTGAGGTCTTACTGCAATGTACACCAGCATGTGAGATTGGAAAGCCCTCAGAGTGCATTGGACATCTATTTGCATGCTGACAAAGCCAAATCTTTCATGGTAGAATTGGACATGTTAAGTTTGTATCAGTTTTGTTGTTTTTTTCCGATGAAACTTTGAGTGTTTGCTTTCCCTTCTTTCCCTCCCTTGAAATGAGAAGATTATGGCATGCATTCACGAAATTTCTGTGAGAGTAGGGCTTTTAGCTGTCAATCAAAGTGGCTCTGAGGAGTCAAGGTCACCAGGAAGAAAAAATCTCTGAATAATAATTAGATGATGTAATTGTCATGACTTGTCTGAATAACAAAGACATGTTGGCTTACATTCTGGAATGCATATACGAAAACTTTTCAGCTGAAAATGTGTTTTTATTTCATTGTCAAGAATACTTGAAGAATTTGTATGTGGGTCAATGAAGAATGTTTAACTTCCTTAAATATACTTTGCAGTTTTTATGGGGTATTTTCTAATCTCTCCAGGCTATATACTTGCTGTAGGTGTAAGCTTCCATGTTTTCAACTTTTGTAAAATTTCTTTTTTTTTTTGTTTGTTCTTTTCTTTTTAAAGGTGGCTTTGGAGAGCATGGAATGTCAAAAAAACGAGGTGCCCTCTATCAGCTTATAGACAGGATAAGAAGATTTGGCTCTGGTATTTTCACTGTTTAAATTAGCGGATTGCCTGATGCGATGATGTATCATGAACATTAATGATGGTAGTGCTTTAACACTTTAAAGCCTATCTGTATTACCATTGGCATAAGCAAACTGTAAAATAAATAGTACAAGAATAGTAATGAAGTGATTAGCTCTTTGTTACATTTTCTTAGAGGTCTATTTCCAGCATCAAATCTGGAAGTTAAAATAGGTAGTTTTAAATCTCATATTAAAAATTCCTTAGCTGCTTTGTATGGCTGTGTTAACAGTTATCAGTTTAACTGATATCATTACAATGTAGTTTCAGTACAGGTAGGCTATGCTGCATGCCTGCTAATTTTTTGTTTGTTTTCTGGATCCACTTGGGGCATTCTGATGATTCATGCTGAGTTTGAAGCATTTACGGTGCGTTACACTGAACAGACACATTTTTATACTAATCATACTCTTGTCAGTATGAATGTAGGTGAATTCAGCATGCTGTGTAAGTGGAATTTCTGTTAATACTGGTTGAGTTTACTCACTCTATTTGATGCAAAGAGATGTCACTTCAATGTCATAAAACCTCAACCTCAAAAAGGAGAATATGTGAACCTCCATTGTAATCACACCACATTGTGTCTAAATGCATCACTGCATATCTTGTAAGATTAACCAGAGCACAGTTTACAGATGTGCTCTGGTAAATAATCTTCATTCTTTATAAGAGAATTACAATTTTAATATTGCATAAATGCTTGTCATCTTTTGCATGCTGTTTGGCGTAAATTTCTTATTGTAGCTCAAAAGAAACTTGAGAAGAAGAATTTTAAATGGTAAAACAGCTATTTTGACATGTGATGTGGTTCAGTAATGACTGCATATTAAGTGTAACAACAGTTTCTCTCTGAAGTTTCTACCTGAGTTTTAGACTGTTGTTTAATTTTCATTTGCACACTTACTTAATGCAGGAGTAAGTTATTTACTTTACCTGAGTAGTTTTTGTAAACCGTGAAATTTTATATATAATTCCTGATACATGATCTATATGTTAATGGTTACAAAGTCAGGTTTAAGAACTTTCTCCCTGCCTTGTGCTGTAGCTTCTTCCCTTTCTTCCTTCTGCTGCTCTCCCAGTCACGGGGCACTGCCATGATACTGTATCATGATCCTGTCCTGGAATCCTCCCCAACCCTGACATACCCATTAACACTTAGGTGGAAACTGGTATCGCAGGGGATACTTATAGAGAGAAGTATTCTCCACTTTCAGTGAAGAATAACAATTCAGCCCCACTGAGCAGGATTTGTTGAATGCTTTTCAAAGTGATCTGTTTTAATCAGCTTCCTTAATGTACACACTAACTTATCAATTGCTTCAGAAGAAGACTGCTAGCCCTGTCCTGGTGTGCAAATCCTTATCTAACTGTCCTTATACTCTTCTATTGTCATAGTAAGTTTCAGCTGATTTGGGAAAGATTTCCCTGTACAGGTATGAATGGTAGTAATATCTGTGAAAATAGGAGGCATTTTAATAAAGAAATTCCAGCTATGAGTAATATTTAGTCATGGGGTTCCAAAAGCTCGTATATGAAAAATGTATGTTTGCATCCTGAAGTGGTGTTGGGTTACTTTCAAGTCGAGTCAGATTTTCATCTGAAAATGTATCCACTAGTAACAGCTACAGATTATGGACATCAGAGGGAGAAATGACTCTCTCTGAATTTTTCCATGTGTGTACAACTTTGCAAATAATTTATCTATTTTTTTTTTCTTGATAATTCCTAATGATAAAAGCCAATCTTACACTTTAAGGATCAATATCTGTTCAGTTCTTTAAGAGTGGTCATACTTTTATTTTCTCCAGATATTGCAATAAAAATGAAAGGGATAGTGAATTCCTTGGTTATTTTGGGTCTCTTCAAAGTCTTTTCCTCTTTGCTGGAAAAATCCTAATTTATTTAAAAAAAAAACAAGGAGTGTGATTTTTTTTTAAAAAACTTATTAAATGGGAAGATTTAAGTGAAATTATACAGATGTCTCTTTAAGATTATAAATTCATGTGCAAATTGTTACTGTAGATATGTTTGAAAAGTAAAGATTTAGACTCTATTTCAAACATTTCAAAGAAAACTGAGTAATGATAGACTGTTGCATAACAGCAATGTCCTACTTTTAAAGGGCATAAAGAAATAATCTAGTTTTGACCTGCTGGAAAATAATTGTTCTCTTTTTTTTGTGGGTGTGCAATATCTCATTCAGTGTTTTAATTATCATTACAGGCTTTGAGCAAAATAATACATCTAAAGGAAGAACTACTGTAAAATTCTCAGGAAAAAATGAGAAAAACCGATTCCCCAGAGCTGCTACATCACGAACAGAAAGAATATGGCCAGGGGGTGTCATTCCATATGTAATAGGTGGAAATTTCACTGGTAAGCTTTGTGCTTTGGATGGGGAGAAGAAATACGAATTTTTTTAATTGCCGCCTGTTTTTTTTTTCTTTTTTAAAAAGTGAAGTCATACTATGATTTCTGTTGGATCAGGCCTGAAGTACATCTGTACTGAAAATATTAGTCATACTTCAAAAAAACTGTTCCCAAAGGCAAGCTACGTAATAAAAATGTATAACTGTATTTTAGAAAGCGCGGACTCTTTTTTTCTTGTCTATATGTTTCTTTGTTGCATGTTTGTTTAAAGAACCTAAGTAACAGAATGTAATTAAATCTGTTTTTTAAGAAATAAGGGATATTTAGTACAACACTATAACTAATTTAACTGATGTGACCGCTATGCTACTAAACTGATTTCACTCAACAAACCCACTCATATATGTTTTGTAGTTCCTCAGTTTTGTTTTCAGCTTGATACACACAGACATTTTATGTGACAAGAAAGACTGACTTCAAAATATATAGAATTCTTAGCAGAAAACTGTAGAAAAAGTTTTAAACATTTTTTTTATCCCTGAAAAATGTAAATTGATCAATATCAATGTGCATGTAAGAGGTAATTTAAAACAAAAAAGGAGGGAGAGAGGCAAAGAGGGATGGGAGAAGATGTTTAATAACATCTTATTTGTTGTGCACAGTAACACAGAAAACCAAAAGAAACATGTAAATGCTCACACATTGTATGCATATGTATATGGAGAGACCAGAGCCATTACTTCAAAACTGATAGCTACAGTCAAACTTTTAGTTTGAGTATTCACATAGTACTTTACCAAATATGACCTTTGTTTTAGGATTACCATCTTCTGAAAAAACGGTAGTAAATGAAATGAAAGCATATTATGTTAGACTTTTTACATCCTCTGTAATGAAAGATAAATTCTAAAGCTTGGCAAACATTGCTTTAAGATAAAAGAAAATGGTGAGATGGATTGAAATAACCTTTAATTTTGAGCATAGACAGGAGATCAAGAGAGATGATTCTGCCCCTCTACTCTGCTCTGGTGAGACTTCACCTGGGGTACTGTGTCCAGCTCTGGAACCCTCAGTACAAGCAGGACATAGGACTGCTGGAGCAGGTTCAGAGGAAGATGACAAAAATGATCAGAGGGCTGGAGCACCTCTCCTATGGCAACAGGCTGAGAGAGTTGGGATTGTTCAGCCTGGAGAAGAGAAGGCTCCAAGTGAGACCTTATTACGTCCTTTCAGTGCTTAAATGGGGCCTATAAGAAAGCCTTTAGCAAGGCTTGTTATGACAGGACAAAGAGTAACGGTTTTAAACTAAAGGAGGGTAGATTTAGACTGGATATAAGGAAGAAACTTTTTACAATGAGTGTGGTGAAACACTGAAACAAGTTGGCCAGAGAGGTAGTGAAGGTCCCATCCCTGGAAACATCTTTAGCTAGATCAGGTTGCTCAGAGCCCCATCAAGCCTGACCTTGAACATCTCCAGGAGTGAGGTCTCCACCACCTCACTGGGCAACCTGTTCCAGTGTTTCACCACTGGAGTGAAGAACTTCTTCCTAATGTCTAATCTAAATCTACCCTGCTCTAGTTTAAAACCATAGCCTCTTGTTTTGGTTGTTTCTGAATGTGTCTCATTTTTAAAACAAATATCTAGATATGCCTGGTATCATACCACACTTTTGGTGGATCATTTGATTTCTGAAAGGTTTTGATGGAAAGGAGCGGAGACTGGTCCCAGTTCAAGTCAGCACTATTAAAATCAAGTGTCTTGACTGGGATGCCTAGAAAAAACACTATGTTTTTTCTGCTCTCTTCCTCTGGTGTAACATAGCTGTGGTTTTTATTGCAGCTTTTATGTTTGCTAGAGTGCATCAGGCAGTATTGGTTCTCTTGCAGGCAGATGACGAGCTGATGATCCAAGTATCCCTTTAATTGGAGCCTGGCAATCTATGGGGCCGCTGGGACACAGGATTTCATGATCCAGTGACTCCTACCAGGCCTATATTGCTAGTATTAAAATATGATCTTAAGGAACAGGATGCAGTTAAGAAAGTCTCATAGTCTCTTTATTTCCTGTCATACAATTTTTTTCAGGCACCCAACGCGCCATGTTCAAACAGGCTATGCGGCACTGGGAAAAGTACACGTGTGTTACATTTATTGAACGAAGCGATGAAGAAAGTTATATTGTATTTACATACAGACCATGTGGGTAAGTATGTGTGTATAGAAACAGATACATGTTTGTCTGGCCATGTTTGTCAGATTTGCAGTTATAATTGAATATGTACTTCACTGGAAAATGAGTAGATAGTCACTGCATTTAAATGATACATGTGTTCTGCTTGGCTTTAGGTTCATTGAAAGCTGTTTGTATAGTAACTTCCTGAAGTTATGCTTCTTTTGTCTATTTCTAGACAAAATGATCTTGCTATATCTATATATAGATATGACACTTTTATATTTGGCTTTCTGTCATGTTTTTAATATTTATATGTATTGTTCTAAAGGTATTTCAGGCTGATCATTTGTTTATTCTTAGCTTTCTCCATGTCACATGTTTACTGCTGAATTACGTATAGACATCTATCCCATAGTCCTCTTCCAGCTTAATTGTTGTTAATTGTAATTTTAACTCTTCTACTGTTACTGTCCTTGCCTAGATTTGTTTAACCACCAAATTCCCTGACCATTTTGCAAATTCCTTTTTCCAGGTCACTGATGTGTAAAAGTGAACAAAATGAGTTTTATTACTTCCTAGTGCAGCTTTCCATTAATCACTGTATTCTGTCTTCAGATATTTCTGCTCCCAAATGCCTCAGTCAGTTATGTTTGTTATTTATTCCACTCAGAATTCTTAATTTTATACAGTGATCACTGAATTTCCCAAATTCATCATGTTAATTTTCCAAGAAGAGTGCTCACTCACCTGTGAAAATACTGTGCTTCTGATAGTCACCTTCTGTTTGGGTTTTAGGCTCCACAGTGAACAGCTCTCTGTCTTCCTTATAAATGACCACTTTGCATGTCTACTTCTGAATTTTTATGTGATAGGGTTGTGAAAAGAAGTTTTGGGACCTCTTTGCACCATAGGAATGATCCTGAATGTACTTCATTATAGCCCATAAGATTGCATGTAGATTTACCTGTTTACATTACCCGACTTTCTTTTTAAGGCATAGGACAATGTAATAATAGGCTATTTTAAGAAAGGCATTACCTTTACCTTGGAAAGTCTCCGAGCCACAGATCCTTGCAATTGGGGAGCTTATTCTACAGGAGCACCTCTGAACTTGCCTGTCATGTTCTTGCACTCCCATAGGTCTGCTGTAGACCCTTGTTAATGCCAAATGAAATGGACTTTTGTTCTGACCCAACATAGCTTTTTTTTATTTAACAATACTACCTGTAAGATAGGATTCAGGGATACTGACATACAGCTGAAAGAGAAATGGGAAGCAGAGAATAATCATGATGGTCCCCTCCTGCACTCACAGAGGTAGAAAGCAATGTGAATTTAAACAGAAGAGTGTAAAAGATATGTGATCTCAGGTGCTTTAGAAAGAGAAGTATGGAGATCTCGACAAAGGTCTTGATTTTGTGAAAAGTAAATTCTACAACTTCAAGTGCCCAAAGCCAAACTACAGAAAATCTCTCCAGTAAAAGCACTGTTCCTTAGGTTGGTTGATGCATCGTGAAATCAAGTCACTTTAGGGTGAAGGCTGGATTATAACCAATTCGAACCAGAAGGTTGCAATATACTTAGTATCTACCTTCAAAGTCACCATTTTCCTTTACAGTTAATGTTTTATTGGTGGGTATTTTACAAATAATTCACAAAGGCTCTAACAAGTTTAAAATAAAAACAAGGAAAGGGTGGCTATGAACAGTCCACCAGTGATGGGGAAAAAAAAAAGAGCTAAACAGTAAACAGAAGGGGCAATTTAATTGCTTTCTTGGGGGTCCTGAATCCATAAACCATTTCAGGAAGAGCCAGCTTACATAGGAACATATCTTTTCCAGGTGAGTAGGAACCCCTGTACTTTAACCATCAGCATATAGTGCTGGATGTGTTCCTGTGCAACCTAGTCTAGGTGATCCTGGTCTGGCAGGGGGGTTGGACTGGATGATCTTTTGAGGTCCCTTCCAACTCCTAATATTCTGTAAAGTACATTAAGTTTTTTTCCTGCTCACTATGACCATAGAAAATAAATTATTGTTCTTTTTTTATCTGAAGGAATCTATTATACACTTTGAGAATGTTTTTATGTCCACCCTCAGTTCTACTTTCTTTTAGGCCAGAAAATGGCTAATACATTTAATTTTTCCTGGTAAGATGTGTTTTCTAGGCCTTTGATTGCACTGTTATTCTCTTTGAGATTCTTTCCCACTAGTCCACATCTCTCTTGAAATTGAGGACCCATAGCTAGGGCATGTTTGTCCAAATGAATGATTACTTCTGCTGATCTAGTGCTAGAGCTAATACCTATACCTTGTAGTCTCTCCTTCCACTTTGGTACCTAAGCATGATGCCTACTTGTTTCTCAACAGCTGCCACACTTGACTCTCAGTTAGTTGGGATATGACTCCAAATAAAAAACAGAGTTCTTTCCACAGCACTGATACCCCGTCAGTGGTTCCAGCATGTGCCATGTTATGCACATCTCAGGGCACCAAATACCGTATTTCCCTTTTCAGGTCTCTTCTCTAATTTGCTAAAGTTGCTATCAGTTCCAGTCTTTTCTTTATGGTATTTAGCAGTCTTTCCTCAGACTGCAAGTTTAAAGAGCATCTTCTCTATCTTCACTTCATATAAGAGTCCAACCATCTGTTGCAGACTTAAACCGTAATTATTTATCATCATCTCTTGTTTATTTAACATGATTTTGATAACAGTTAATTATTGAAATATTGTTTCTTAATATAGCTGGAGCACTTAGTAGTTTGAAATTTTGTAATTACTGATAGTAATTTGTACCCAGTAGCTGCAGTTGTGAGAATAAGAATATAGTGTTAAGGTAGTAGTGTTTATTATTCTTCTATCAAAGCAGTGTACATTGACATTAATATCTATTACAGCGATTATTTATGCAACTAGTTGATTAGGGCAAGTAAAACTCTAATCTGTAAACAGGTTCAGAACACTCTTTGTTCTCTACTTCTTCTCTATCCTTATGTTTCTTCCTATCAAGAAGTGCCTGAAGATACAGTCAGTATACTTCTCTGCATGCAAAGCCAAAAAAGGGCTCAGCAAATTGGAATGGCCTCTAGTCACATACTCTTAATAAATATTACTGAGTACAGGATCAAGCTTCTTTTTATATAGTGAGACTAAAAAGCAAGAACAATTAGTCATGTTGTTCTGGCATCTTAGCATGCCTTTGATCTGACTTTGTGGCAATTTTTGTTCTCTACCAGAAGACTTAAGTACTTTTTTATGACAAACTTTAGATGACTTATTACATTCACTGCTGTAGCCTCTTATATGGGTATTTGACAAAGCTGTCTGAGATACAGGAAGATCAGATCTTTTTCATGTGCTTCTCCAAACATTGTGACTGAATAGCTTCTGAATGTTTTAATGTTTTTCTTAAACTTTTTAGTCTATTAAACAGACTTTACAGGCAAGCTCTTAAAGTTAGTGAAACAGGTAAATTCATTGCCTGAGGTACACTTATGCAGCATTCTTTAGCTTTAAGAAGGATTATATGTTATAAAGGGTGCTCAATCACTTTTATGGAATGAGAAGAAATTCAGTTGTACTAAATAATCTGTCGCATTAGGGCTGACTCATGCTCTCAAGTGGTAATTAACTCTAGCAGCTGGTACTCTTTTTGCCCGCAGCACTTGATACACCTTCTGTGCTGGTTGTGGTATGACCTGCAGGATGGGTGTGACCAAGGTGCAGGTGACCAGCTGTTGTAGTCTAAAACACAGTGTATTAACATAAACTGAATATGAGAGTGGTAGATCACTGGAACAGGTTGCCCAGAGGGGTGGTGGAGGCCCCATCCCTGGAGACATTCAAGGTCAGGCTTGATGGGGTACTGAGCAACCTGATCTAGTTAAAGATGTTGCTGTTTGCTGCGGGGGTGTTGGTCTAGATGACCTTTAAAGGTCCTTTCCAACCCAATACATTCTATGATCCTATGAATGAGGAGTGATTTATATTAATACACTGGGAGAGGCAGCTGGTAACTGAGGAATGGACTCAGTTGGCTGTTTGTAATTTTGGAATGATTGTCTCCATTGAGCAAGTGAAGAAGCACTAGCCACTTCTGCCATTTTGCCATTGCAACAGGTCCTCTTAGGACAGTAAATCAGAATATTTGGTAACCACAACTAGAGTGATCTCTGACAATAAGCAAATTCATCAAGCCAGGTCATAGCCAGTATCAACTTTGTACAGAATGAGTTATATGTGTGATTGAAAGAGGTGTTCTTTTCACCAAGAAAAAATCCTCTACTTGAGTGAGCTTTTGTTCATGAATTTTGTGAACTTCTTTGTATTCTTGGTGATGATATGCAGTCCTAGTATGCTTGTGAAGTTCTGCAGTTTTTCATCCACAACTCCATATAGTCAGTGCCATGGCAAGCTGATGTTGTGGTCTATGGGGATTTTTATATTATTACATTCTGAAGAGTGCAGCTTTTTAAAAAAGTGCAACTTAGACCTACCCTGATTCTCTCTTCCTTCATATTAATTTAAGACCACTTTTGACAGTAGCTGTATTACTTAAAAGAATAAACATATTGTTCCAGTCCTTTCACTTTCTCTCTGTTGTTTGTTTCTATTTGTTTGTTTTCATCATTGATCAGCTAGACTGATTAAATGGAATTAGAGATTCATAAATAGTTACTGTCTCCAGCTGCTGTCTGGTGCAATAAAGATTAAAGAGATTATGATCTTTAAAGGCTGCCAGTTGACTCTATTTAAGGGGCATGACAGGTGCTCATACAGCCCAGAGGTCTTGGCCTTTTGCCAAACACACCTGGGGTCAAACCCACAATATTGTGAATTCATTTATTTCATGAAATTATTAATTTATTTTAGTTTTAGTTCCTATGCGACCTAGTCTAAGTGATCCTGCTCTGGCAGGGGAGTTGGACCGGATGATCTTTCGAGGTCCCTTCCAACTGCTAATATTCTATGATTCTGTGTGATTTACCATATTTTCTTATAAAAACAAATTGTCTTAATACCTTAATGTTATTTTACTAGCCCTTTTGTTGTTAAACTGTTGCACAGCTATTGCCTGACCTTTTCAAAGTTGCAGTGCACAACCTTAAAAGGTTTGACATTCTTTTCATCCAAATGAAGTAAAAAGGATGGAAAGAGATAGACCGTAGTTATATTCTCGCTTTATTCGTTTGCTGTTGCTGTGAATAGTGTCAATAAAAGCAGAGCTGGAGATGTCATAGAGGGTGCTATTTGGAATAAATATTTATTCTTTTTTAACTTTTTCCTTTTTCTCTATTTGTCTCCAAAGTATCACTGTGCAAAGATTATATTGAAATCTATGGAAATTTTTAATCCATCAAATATGTCTTTGCTAGTTGAAGCATGTAATGTACATGAAGGCAATAACAAAAGCATGTTAAAATTATTGAAATAATTTTAAATATTCTATAAACTACAATCTTAATAACCTATTAATTTACTTTAAGCTATAAAGTTCTTCAATATAATTCTTTAATCCTGCTTTGCAGTTTTTCTCTATAGAAATTCCACACAGTGGTAAAAATGAAGACTCAGCAAAAGTACTTAAACCGTTATAAACTAAAGCATTTTTTCTACATTTTCATAATTAAGCATCGTTATCTAACTTTCTTCTCATCAACCACTTGCACTGCTGTCATGTCTTGTTTTCAGATCATAAAGGTTTTGAATGACAAATTAAATTCCAGGATTTAAACAAATGTGTTTAAATGTGTTGAGTCTCTAAGGTGTGTTTTGCAGGATTATAGATGAATGGAAAACTAGATAGGTTAAAATTGGAGGAATGGACCTACAGGAACCTTATGAAGTTCAACACAGGCAAATACAAAGCCCTGCACCTGTAAAGGAAGAGCAAGATAGGCCAGGCACTGCTGGGTTGAGGAGCAGCTCTGTGAAGAAGATCATGGGGCACCGAGCTGAGCAGAAGCTGGCCATGGACCTTGACGGCAAAGGCAGCCAACAGTGTCCAGGGCTGTGTGAACAAAGCACAGCTGGTGGCTCAAAGGAAGAGGTCATCCCTGTCTGCTCACCACTTGCTAGGTCACAGATTGACCCTACATCCAGTTGGGAGCTCCTAGTACAAGATAGATATTAATAACCTGGAAGGACTTAAGCAAAGAGCTGCCAGGATGCTTAGAAGCTGGAGCACTTGACCTATGAGGAGATGGTGAGGGTCCAGGGTTTGCTCAGTTGGAGAAGAAGTGGCTTCAGGAGAACCCAGCAGCAGCCTCCAGTTCCTATGAGGAGGGCAACAAGAACAGAGAGCTAGGCTCTTCACGCTGGTGCTTGGTGGGAGAACTCAAGACAACAGGCATAGGCTGAAGAAAGAGAGAATCAGACTGGATATAAGGAATAAATTGTTCACAGGGCGGACAGCCAAGCATTGGAGCAGGTTGTTCAGCAGGGCTGAACTGGATAAAGATCTGAACAACACTGGTCTGACTTCATATCTGACCCTGCTTTGAGCAGAAGGTTGAACTGGAGACCTTCAGAGGTTCTTTCCAACCTGAATTATGCATGAACCAGTGGAATTTTATCCATATTTAGTAGTCCGTGATATGAATTCTCACAGATTGCATGCATTTCATGTTTTTCTATTTTTAAAACAACCACCAGGCATTGTCAGTGCATTTTATCTCTTTGCACAAATTAAGGTCAGTATAGCACAATTAACATAATGATGTACATGACCTTAACATAGGTAGGAAGCCCTAACTCATTAAGTTCACTTAATATGGAAGTAGTGACATCCTCTTACAGAATGTGCATTACTTTACCTGATTTATTTTTACATTTTCTACCATGGCATCCTGTAGACTGCCAAGGCAATTGCCACATTTTAGTGCTGACTTCAAAGTGTTCAAAGATAAGGGGCCATGTTTTCTAGAAGACTTGAAGTCTGGGATCTAGGAACTACGTCTGACACATTTATATGGTGTACATAACGCAACTGCCTATGATAGTGAATTGGAAAATTTGTACTGAGGGAAGAAGGTCTTTAATGCCTTTTTAAATGGATGAACTTTTCTGAGAATGAAGAGTTACTGCAATAGCTACTACCTTTGGCTCAGAGTATAAAGTGTGTACTCTGGCATTCCCTCTCTAATTAGATGGGACTGTAAATAACAACGTGTAGAAAGTTTAACCCCTCCCTGCCCCCTCTTGCCCCCAAGAAAACCCCAAACCAACAAAAAACCCCAAACCTTTTTAAGGATCTGAACACTTTTCTCCTCAGGGTGAACATGAGTGAATAAGAGAGTGTATGAGCTATAGTAACTTCCTTATTGTACAATAAAAACATATTCAAATAGTTCAGTGGCTAGTGAAAGATAAAAACCCAGGTAAAATGATACTGAAATTGTCTGTAGTGCTTTATGTTTACATATTCACCTGTAATCATGATATTTATTCTGCAAATATGCAATCTGAAAAATAGGTTAAACAAAACTATGTCAGCATGTCAGGTGCAAAGGTGAAATCCACTGTGACTCATTAGATAAGATGGTATAACTGCTCTAGATTTTAATTTTAATCTTATTTCTGCTATCTGTTGCTCCTTTTTATCACCTGTGCTATATTTTTAGGGCACATCTTAAGGTAGTTTTTTCCATTACTGTTATTTGTATCTGCGTTTATAATAATATTCTATATCTTAAATATTGTAAATAGTAATTTTGTTTTAATACAGTTTGTATAGAGTGAGGGAAATACACAGAGCAGTACACAGATGCTCTTTATTTTCTTTTACTGTGGTGTGGAACGCTGGCACATAAAACTGCAACACTGACAGTGACTCAGAAGCATAGCAGAGTCTAAACTGCCACTGTTTTTATTTGCCAGCCTTGAAGAGTGCTATCAAGGGAAGGCACCTTAAGAAATGAATTATATATGATATTGCACAACTCTAGCTGAAGCACTGAGAGTAATTCAATTTGGCCGAAAAAGGTGATTCACCCCTATATAAAGCAGGAAGAAAAGAGTTAACTTATTTTGAGGGTAGGAATACTTGAGAAGCAGTTGAGATGGCAAGGAATGATTGCAATGTGAACAATAATTTTTACCAACAGTATTTTCAAGGTAGTTTCAAAAGTCTTGATACAAACTTCCTAGGCTGTTACAGTAATATTTTCCTTTATAAAGTAACTTTATGTGGCCATTATAGTTTTAAGATATTACTATCATTTTTTGTTATATCTATCCTTGATTTTAACCATTAATGCAAAACCAGTATATACGTACTAAGAACAGGTGTTGTGAGCTCAAATGCCATGGCTGTACTTCTCTCATATTCATATTTTAAAATTCTAGTTGTATAAGACACTAACAAAAATCAATGAAGATGACCAACCAAGACTGACTACCAGCCAGCTAACCAAAGTGAAAAGTCTCTTCACCACCACAAAACCTGAAAAAGAGAAACAAGCAAATGTTGTTTGTAGAGTTTAATCTATCAGTATTGCTCCCATGGCTGCTCTTCCTTTATTGGTCACAGAGGCATGTGAAGGATAGGATCATTCTCCACACTAGCATCGACCTCCTCAAGGACCAAATATATTTATCTAAACATTGCATCAGAAAACACATTAAAAAAAAAGAAAAAGATGGAGAAGGGAGAAAGTGGAAGTGATGTGCTCAGTACAATTCCATTCCACCTGACAGAACTGAATTTACAGAACAGAGATGGGAAATGAGGCTTTTATTAGGGGAAAATAATGCTGGTTTGAAAATATTTAAGATCTTCAGAGATGACAGAGAATCAGCTTATGAAACCTGAAATTGTCTTCCATTTTGTTTGGACATGCTTAACTCTCCTTTCTTTCTTTTTGCCAGTAGAGTCAGCAGACTTTTTTTTTCTAATCAAAAAGCGGACATCTCAGATAAATGCTGACAGTATGAATGCTGAAAAAGACATCTCTGTTCTGTAAGTTTACATTGGAATTATGGAATTGCAGTGAAACAGGAAAGAAACAAGAGAGCTGTTGTGAAGTAGGGGTTTTTTGAGTTGTGTTGGGGTTTTTTTCATGAAAATACGACATTCTGGGCCTGAGGTTTCTATTACATGAAAATAGGAGTGGGAGAAAAATAAAAGGTTCACAGATAACCAGAGCATTCAACTCCTAATACACAGTTGTTGCAAATAACATTGTATATCACCCATAGCCAGAGAAACAAAAAATGAGGAGAAATTAAACAGGATTCACAGGATTCTGCATCTCATTCAGGATATCTTCTTTTTGTATTTTCAACTGCATGCTAAGTGAATCTTTTAAAGGACTGCTATTTTACTTGCATCTGTTCTGCACCCTTTGTAGATGGAACTAATGAAGTAGGGTTACTTTTCAGATGAAAATAAAGCAAGCTTACCAGAACTGAGTGACTGAGAGTCACTCAGTGACTGAGTGGTGAGTGCTGTCAAGACACACAGCAGAAGCATGGCACAGAAGAAACCTTGCCTTTACCTATTCCTTCTGCTTCCTGCTGCATGCCTCTTGAGTGTTCACAGGCAAGAAAGCAGTAGTATGTATGGGTGAGATGGTACTTCCAGTCAGCTTTATTTTCATTGATTCTTTGGATGAAAAGGAGTTCCTGTGTCATTCTGAGTTACAAGGCCACGAGTTACAAGGCCACAGGTTACAATTCTGTTGATCACAGCTAACATCTTTTAAGAAGACCTTGAATTAAAAAAAAAAAAAGCATGTATCCTTTATTAGGTATTCTGAATAATAAGTTGTTCTTGTACTAGATCTAGAGTTTGTGAGACTGCGGAAATCGCATAGTACTTTGTTCTGCTGAATATTTTTGTATAATATTTTCTCATATTTTAATTGAATTTCCTATATGGTTTGTAGAGATAACCATGAAAACTTGCATCTGTGTTTGTGTTTTACTTACAGGTGCTGTTCTTATGTGGGTCGAAGGGGAAATGGTCCTCAGGCTATATCTATTGGCAAGAACTGTGATAAATTTGGTATAGTTGTCCATGAGTTGGGTCATGTGATAGGTTTTTGGCACGAGCATACACGACCAGACCGTGATGACCATGTCACTATCATTAGAGAAAACATCCAGCCTGGTGAGATATTCTGAGAAGTATTTTGAAAAAAAAAACAAAACAAACCTGTTTATTTTTGGTGTTTCTTTCATCTGCTCAATTCTCTTAAAACTGAATGTTGAATAGTAGAAATGAGCATTTATGCCTGCTATTCCTTTTAGCTGGGCTTATCTCAAGCTGATTCACAAATGAAATACTGCAGCTAAAATATAATCTTTTTTAAAGAACTGGCCAAGTAGCAAGCCATTAAAAAGTATTGGCTAGAAGGAGATAAACAGTAATCATGCTCATAAACTTTGAAAGAAGGCATTGCTCTTAAAGCACTTTAAACTCATGTTTTTGTAGTTGAGAAAGGGCTTTTCTTTCATGATCTTTACTGAATGATAAGTAGAAACATATCAATAGCTTTTTAGCTGCCCAAGAAGTTTAGACCTGGAAGGGAAGCTGAGCATTTTGAATCTGTGACAAAGATGAACACTGTTCCCAAAGTTTCCAAGATACTGGTTCCCTACAGAGCTTGCAGTTTTAGCCAGTGGTCTTGATATTGGTGAGACAAAGCATCTGAGGAACCTGAGAACTTTAAACTGTGACTTTCACCTCTGGCAGTCTAGCAGTTCTGCTCACACTTGTGTCATGTGGACAAGAAGGGAGGGCAGTAGGCATGTTTCATATGCGATGTTCATAAATACATGTCTTTGTGAAGCACTGATTTTGACTTAGGAGAAGTCTCTGCTTAAGAAGGGGCAAAATCAGAAATTGTCCAATGATAGCTTGGAGTATTTGTGTGTTCCTATAGAAAATACTTTAAAACAAAATAAATTTGAGATGCAGTTACTTTGCCATCTTAACTAAGACTTGGAAGATGACTGGCAGCTGATACACACTCCCATAAGTTTCTGAAGTCCTGAAAGGGCAGCCCTCCTCCTGTTTTCTCTATAACTTGTGTAGATTCCACAAGTGCTCTTCCCTTATGCTTTTTCTGCAATTGGGAAGACCAGGATCTTTGCTGTCAAAATTATTTCTTTCTGGAATTAAGAACCAAGCCAGCAAATTTTATGGATTCTGTATGAAGTGTAACATAATGTGTGAGGCCTTCATGTGAGCTAGATTGATGAGAACAGTCTTTCTAGTTGCCAAATACAGGAATTTGACATGTGTTTCAGAAGATGTGTCTGGTCTCTTGGTTAATAAAAGCAGACAGTTACTCCCAATTGAGTAAGATTTATGAATGTCAGTGAATGATTAGGTGAGGGTTGTTGTTGTTTTTATTTTCCTGTTTGGTTGTGGTGTTTTTTTTTAATCTTAATGAGAAAAATATATTAAAGAAGCTCTAATTATCAATTATCTTTTGTAGGTCAGGAGTACAACTTCTTGAAGATGGAGCCTGGAGAGGTGAACTCCCTTGGGGAACCATATGACTTTGACAGCATTATGCACTATGCCAGGAACACCTTCTCAAGGTTGGAGTCTCAGGTTATAGCTTTTGACTTTTAATTCTATTTTTCTCTGTGAATGCTGAGAATTATGCTTTTTGAAGTATTCCAAAATCCCTTAAAATATCCCTTGCGATATGGTATTTTTACAGCAGTCAAAACACAGCTTGTTTATTTTAAGTCAGAATAATGTAATTATATTTTTAAACATGTTTTGTTTCTGTTCAGTTTAAAAGCAGCCTTTTGATCTTCCTTCAGTTCTTTAGATTTTAAGGCAAGATAATCTGGAAACATAATTCCATAATACTCAGTTTCTTTTTGTCTCCACAAAAATTTGAATTTAGAAAAACCAAATGAGTGAAATAGTTACGAATTTTATGTGTATCATGGTCTGTTCTCTTAAAGAGAAATCTGCTTTGGTGCATAAAGTGTGAGTAACTGTGGATTATGCGAGTAGAACATATTATACTATTAGGACATCTACCCTGCAAGCCACATCTTTGCTAAGCACTGCAGTCAACCATTTAAAACAGAGGCTTCAGCCTTTTCTCTATTGTTTGCAAAGATTGTTACTGTCAACAAAACTATATAATAAAAGCTTCTACTGATTTTGCTCTGGCTTCTTGCAGGCTGATCCATTCCCAGCTCCATAGTAACTCACATGGAGCTTGCTCTGAAACTGCATGGTTGTGAGAAGCTATACAATGAGCTGTTCCTCTAGGCTAGCCCTACTCTGGAGAACAAGCAAAGCAAGAGTCTTTCACCTAGTCTCCTATTATATTTCATACCAAGTAACAGTCTAGCTAATTGCTCTCTGAAAATACCAGAGTAATGTAATTTATATTTTTTTTTAAAAAAACACCTTTAAAAAAACCAAGAAAAATTCATGTTTGAAAAGTGTTGTGGCAAAAATACTAGACAATCTAAGACTTTGGAATAAACTCAAGAGCACCAGAAACCTCACCAGCCTTTGCACATTTCTTAAGATTGTTCTCTCCAGTGTAAATGGTATTATTTAAAAAAAATCAACCAGAAAAAAAAACAACAACCAGCAAAACCCCCACCAAATAGTGTTTTCAGCACATATGTAATTTACCCTTGGAAGAGCATGGGAATGAGCCACATGAGGTAGATATTAGTCACATCACTTAGTCAAGTTGGTGATACATTACCTTAAGGAAGAGATTATAATAACCTATATAAAATAGAGTAATTTAACAAGCTGGAACCCCGCAGAGTCCTAGGGCAATGACATCATCAAGATATTTGATTTGTGGGCCCTGATCTCCCCACTTTCCAAGCTGGCAAAACTGATAGTGCCATGAGTCAGCATGCCCTGCCCCAAGGTACGAGAAATTGTTACTTTATACTGGTTTAAAAACAAAACAAACCAGCAAACCCTTACGGTCACGTATTGATTTTCACTGATTTGTCTTGAAAGCATGAGTTGTGCTCAGTGTGGAATATGCCAGCTGTTTGTTGTTAGACTACTCGCCTGGATAAGTAATAGAAATCACAAAGTCCAAGTCACACACAATAATGATGTTCATGCTGTATTAAAACTGTTAGAGGTTGTTCCCCTTATTAAAGTGCTAAAGCATTTAAGAAAGATTGTTTTCACATTTTTCAAATATAAATAGTATCAGTTTCAGGTTGTACTAAAAATTCAGTGAATAATGTCTCCTTCTCTGGAGACATTCAAACCCCGCCTGGACGCCTTCCTGTGTAACCTCATCTAGGTGTTCCTGCTCCGGCAGGGGGATTGGACTAGATGATCTTTTGAGGTCCCTTCCAATCCCTAACGTTCTGTGATTCTGTGATTCTGTGTGTAATAAAATTGCATGCAAACACTTTTTAAAATTAATAATGTGCCTATGTCTAGAAACTGAATAATGCCATAAGTAGTATAAGAGTATTTCACCCTTTAGATTAGGGTAACATCCCGAGATGATTCTTGCAAAATCTGTAGTGATGCCACAAGAAATCTGACTGGGTAAAGAGAGCAGTATGTACCTGCAATACTTAAAATGGTTCATTTATTATAATTTAAAAACCAATCTGTATTGATAAACAGTATTTCTGACTCCAGAGATCCTTACTGTTCATTCATTTTTGGATCTACATTATGCCTGAAAATACTAGTTTTACTTTTCAGTAAAAGTCCTGCAAGTATACGAGAGTATAAAAAAAATAAAGAACAAGACAATGCAGAAACATATTCATCTATAAACTTTAATTTTATGGAATTTCAGGGAGTTTTAAATTCTGTAAAGAGATAATAGAAGTTAGTTTTGTACCTTACTCTTTTAAAATTTGTTTAAGACTACCAAAATATTTTTGAACATATTTAAAATTTGGGAAATTTTGAATAAAACTGCACTTTTGGAAGAAGTGTGCTTCTCTACTATGCCTAGTTATTTAGGGTAAATGTTACTGAAATTGAATGTGGTAAGTTGATATATTTTATTGTAAAGCAAGAAGAGGCTAGCAAGTAAGCATTTATGTTTAAAAAACAGCTGTGGCTAGAGTTAAGGTCTGTTATAACACCTGACAGAAAAATGATAGGCTGGTGTGCCTGACTTAATCTGCTCTTACATATGCAAGTTTGACTTTAAGACTTCCCATAAAAACATCGTTAAAAATAGGAACTTTGTAATTAAGAGTCTTGTGATTAAATTATGTTTTTTTATATCATTTTCTTATTAAATTTTTCAATCTAACAAGAGCTTAACAGCGATGTCTTTTTCCTGCGTAGTCTTAATAGTAGCAAGAGATTTCGCTCCTGTTCTCTAACAGAAAGATAAAAGCTGATATGTTAATTGATGTACTGAAAGAAGATTATCTTTGATAGTGTTGCATAAAGTTTGTCAACCTGAGGAATTTTTATTACGTGTTTCCTGTATTTAAAGTTCTGTATTTTACCGTTTTATTTATGCCAAATGTAAATTCTAGATTTACAAAATAGTGTTATACATTCACAAAACTCAGACAGTTTTATGACAGAAACCTGATAGGGTTTTTTGGGGTCTATTTTTATTTTTATTTTTTTTAGGGGCATGTTTCTGGATACCATTCTCCCTTCCCGTGATGACAATGGTATACGACCTGCCATTGGCCAGCGTACTCGTCTAAGTAAAGGAGATATTGCACAGGCAAGAAAGCTGTATAGATGTCCAGGTATTGCACCACAAACAAACAAAAACCACATACTAGCAACTGTTTGACTTGTTGTTCAAAAGGAATGATAATTTTTTTGAGTCAGCTGCTCAATATTTTGTTTCCATGTTGGCAACTGACATAGGCAGTTCAAGAATTGAATAATTAAAAAATCTTATAGGTAAGGTCTCTGGAATCCAAAGCACTTAAGGATAGATAAACCGCATTAAACAACACTTAGTTCCATGACATATTCTTTAATTTCCTTAGCTGTTAAATGACTAGAGAAAAACAAAATGTTTAATATCACTTCTAGTTTACATATTGACTGGGGTCCTCTTTATTTGAATTCAAGTAGAGTGCAGAAGGAGGAGATTCAATTATTGCAATCATATCTGAACACATTATTTTTTTTATTTTTTTTTTAAATTTGACAAATAACAAGCCAGGACAACTAAGTTGTAAACTCTTTTATGGATGAACTGATTAGATCTTATTACAAAATTTGTACAGTTGTAACAGCTGCATTTGATATTTGAATACCTTATGCCTAATTCTAGCATCCTGTAATTTAAATGCGCATTAATCTTGCATCTCAAAATAGTGTTGGGGTAGAGTTGCTGTCTGTCTTAAAGACATGAAGAGCAAGTCTGAAGTAACCCAGAGTCAACCCTGTGATTGCTCTCTTGTGCTAGTTCTCTAAGTGCTGGCAGAGTGGTGGAAATAACAAAGCAAAATATTTTACTTTCCTTGCTCTAGTTATAGCTGAGACCAGTTTTAACCCTTGGTGTAAACTGAAGCAGTTCAGAAGTGCCATCTCTCAGTCAGAATTTGCCAGCAAGGTCCTTGTGGGAGGCTAGGCATACCAGCTCTGTGCTACATAGGTTTTACAGCCCTCCCACTCCTCATGGGAATTAATGAAGTCTCAGTAACTGTTTTAAGTCAGATATATGGCTACTGTTTACCACCTGATCAATACAGAAGGACTAGAAAGAGGTATCAGGACTGACGTGATGGAGCTGCTTCAGTTTTGTTTCAGCAGCAGTGGGTTCTACTGAAGATCTAGGGCATCTGATGTGCATTTGATGTACACCGTACAGCTGAAATATGCTTTTCCTTTGTTCTGTAAGTACACTGAATCATCATCTGCTATATACTGAAAAACATGCGCAGTGTTTCTGGGCCTATTAGAGGAGAAACCACGTTAACATATTTTCCTTAACAGCTGTTCCTTTTGGAATAATTTTTGCTTTTTCATTTTGGTACAGAAAGTACTTGAATAATGTCATTCTTTTCAGCAGCATTATTTCTAATAAGAGTATGCAGACAGCAACAATTTCATAAACACAGAGAGAATACATATATATTTTGATAAAAGACAAATTTTTAAGACAAAAATAGTCTAAGGAATCAAAACCACTGTGAAAGTAGCTGGTATCTTATGATCATGTTGACTTAAGAAATAATTAAAAATTACAGCCTAGGTTGTTTAGTGTGTATTTAGTGCTCTATCACGCACTTTCAGTCAACTGAAAAAGATGCCATTTACTTTATGAGCTAATGTTCAAATAATTGTTCAGAGAAAATGTCCTTTTCATATAATTCATGAAAATGTGTAATGATGAGTTACCATTTCTTTCAATGTCTTGAAAGTCTTGTTGAAAGTTAGTTTCACAGTATTGTAAAACCATGATTGTTCAGCAGTAGTGTGCACTGTAAAAGTAAGTTATTTTTTGCAGCACTGGTGAACACACTTTGGAAAGATAATGAAAAATGAATGGTGATTGCAGGATCATGCTTCTTTTCTGGTGCTTTGCTTCAGCAAACTTTGGGATTAAAGACATTGGTTTTCTAAACTTACCTAAATGAGCCAGTCCATAAAAGAAAGCTAGTTTTGAGAGAGAGAAAAGGGCAGAAGTATTTGCTGCAAATTTTAAATAGCACACTATTTAATATGCTATTTTTTCCAGATAATATTTTTAATAGAAGCTGCATAACTTAATAACATAACACAAACTTAAACCAATAAAGAAAGCAGCTCTCTGAGAGTTGCATGGTACTTGTGATCTAATAAGTTTTCCAGCAAATAGTGAGACTGAAAATTCAAACATTAAGCTTTTGTTTTTATCAGAAGAATCATGTGATTGTTGTAGTATATAGCACTAAAATCCCTGACACTGTGTTGTTTTTAGAGGTGTGCTGTATTTCCTGTTTCAGACAAAAGATGTTAATCAGGTTGTCTGTTTATGACAAAACAGCAGTGACTATTTCAAACATTAATAACATCTGCATTGCTTCATGTGTTCATTTGTGTTACCTTAAGTGTAATACAGTGAAAATACAGAAAACATTAACTTAAATAAATCTGTATTTTCCAGAGATAAACACTTCTTTGATAAAGGATTTTGCGCTATTGTCCATGTTTCATTTGGAGTTCTAGTTGTTCCTGCAAGCAGCTTTAGGTCCAAAAAGCTTTCTGCATTTTCTGGGGCCCGTGTACATGAAGTTGAGCTCAGGGTTACTGTAGAACACAGCTGATCTTCACAGCAGTGAGGCAGCTGAGCCTCCCAGGTTGTTTTAGCTTTTCAGGATATTCAGGGTCATTATTTAGGAAACGGCTCAGCGACTGAGAAACAGTTTTGAACGTGGTGCAGCCAAGGCATGAGATTTGATAACCTGTTGAGTAAGTAAGTTGAGTAAGCTGAGTAAGTGCCAGGACTCAATCTAACAACTGCATTTTTGGTTTGTTTTTAAATTTTTCTTGGGATTTTTGTCAAAGGAAAACACAATTTCTGATAGGGATCTGTTACATTTTAATACTGAGTTACATTGTTACACAATAGAATAATAATGAGAAAGCAAGCAACAAGTTGGGGGCTCTTCCTCTGCCAACCCTTTTTTGAGCTTTGAGTGTCTTTGTATTTGAGACCAGATCTTGAGCTTCAAGGCTGGATGTATTACAATGATATTCAGACTGTCTAACAGAGTAATAGAATGTTTTCTTCTGGTGCAGCTACTAAAATTTCAACACAGGTCTACCTTTGTAGTTCTAGATAGAAATTGTAGTTCATTTAAAATGCATATGTAGTTTTATAGGAGCAAGAACATAAAAAAAGAGAAATTATGAAGAACAGTACTGTTAGGCAGAAAGAGAGAACTAGAAATAACTGAGTAGAGTGGGACTGAATAATAGATGGGAAAAGAGACTAAGTCTGGCAGGAGAAGGCTGTTCAGGGGAAGAGAAGGTTGGATGGAAGAAGTTCAGCAAATTTACAAATTGCCAGGGTCTGTGGCAGTATGTGTAGAAGTGAGCAGTCTAGCATGGCTCTTTTCAGTGCTCTTCTTGCTGTTCCTCAGGCTTAACTTGCTCCCATCTCTATTAGATTAGAAAAAACTGTTCACCTTCAAAAGCCAACCTTTATTCATTACCTAAAGTTTTTTAGATTGAGATTGTTTTCCTAGAACTGTAAAGGGGAATCAAGTAGACAATAAGACACTGAATTTTACTAAACTGATTTAAGTTTTTGGTTTAACAATTACATTATCAGTACCCAATATTTTTAGGACTCTGTGGCAGCTATATTTGCCATATACATATAGATGTACAGACTTGGGTCTAAGTGAAAAAAAGATCTTAATTGTCTTTGGGGAAAAAGGTAAGCTTAAATTAGCTGTGTAAGACAGTATGTATTTGCTATGGACAAAGGAATGAGAGTTGGTTCCCTAAGTGTCTTGGAGGAACTGGGCTTTGTCATTTGCAGATTTCACTGTAATCCTTAATGGAACTTGACCATGTGTGTGGACCAGCCCAGAGAGGTGTTATACACAGGCTGTGTAATTACACACTGCTGCAGAGTTCACTGGTAGAAATTGCTTTGTATAAGCATATAATCTACCTGCTGCCTGCACCCATTGCTAATCTTTACAAGGAGAAGCAAAAATAGTTTCCCTTTCCTTACTATAGAAATCTTAGCAGAAGTCTAACCACCTGTAAAACAGACGGGAGATTGTTTTTTACGTTGAAGTGTATATGTGGGTCATTTCTGCAAGTGGTCTAGCCTAGTAAAATGGATATAATTGACAATTGGGAGGGAAAAAAAAAGCAGCAAACATGGGCAATGTTAATTATTAACAATGGAAGAAAAACAGCAGAGGTGTATAAGATTGAAGTTTTAATTTCTTCTGACACTAAATATACTAAGATTAGTTCTTAAGAAATTTAAGTAAGTGGCCATTTTTCCTTCTCATTTCTTTACCAAAGTGGACTCTATTACTAATGGACCATCACACACTAAAATATTTATAATATACCATTTTATAAGCCTGATCATGAATACCGTAGTTGCCACGGTCCAGTTACAAAGAAAACCTTTACATTCCCTGGTGATAGAATTTTAACTGTTTCAGTTACCATTGACCTATTGCAGAGGAGTGTGCCCAGATATCACCCTGTTTACAGTGGCTCTGGAAGCCAGCCTGGAACTCAGAGCCCATAAATAATTAATTCAGCTATGGATTGGTATAAGCTCTTCTTCTTATAGTTCCCTTGAGTAACCAGGAATTTTCAATTAAATGTTAAATATGGTGAAAAATGTAAAGCCTAAATATATTTTATAAATTCTAATTGTGTTAATTCTTAGTAGAAGCTATCCAATTACATTTTTTCTTATGCTTCCCTTAAATTCAGAAATATTTATGAAAATTTCAATTTGATAGAGAGTTCAGGTTTTCAACTTGAAGATAAGGATAAGGATAAGGAGGAAGTTTTTTTATTGTAAGGGTTACAGAGCACTGGAACAGGCTGCCCAGAGAGGTTGTGGAGTCTCCTTCTCTGGAGACATTCAAAACCAGCCTGGATGTCTTCCTGTGTGACCTGGTCTAGGTGATCCTGCTCTGGCAGGGGGGTTGGACTGGATGATCTTTCGAGGTCCCTTCCAACTCCTAGTATTCTGTGATTCTGTGATTCCCAAGCATTTAATATGGATATAAGTTAAATTATTGTATTAACTAGCTTTATTCTATAATTCATAGAAAATAAAAATGTTCGATGACACCTTTTGCAACTTAAAAACTGTAATTTTAAGGCTACATACAACTTCTGTATATGGAGCATGGAGTGTTATTAATATTCTGGAGAAAATAATCCTACGCTCTCTGTATGGGAGAAAAATTCTGAAATGTTTTTAAAGATGTAAAGGTATTATACTTAATTAATTGATGTGTTTCCTTTTATAATGGGGTAATTTAGGGACTTTAGTAGAGTAAGGGGTAGTTACGCCAGGGTCTTCCTCCTCTTTTACTAATTGCAGGGCTGCATGTGAACTGGTGTCTCATATGTCCCACATTCTTGATAGCATTTTGTTTGCTTGCATACTTCACATTATGTGGGTGTGTGCATTGCATGACTTCATAATCAATATTTGTGTGTCGAAGTTACAGTTAATTGAAAAAATAGCAGTGTGATTTGAAAAGATTGGACAAAAAGCATTCCCCATCTCTCATCATGTCAGCATGTGCAGAGGAGGACCATAAAGATGATCAAAGGGCTGGAGCACCTCTCCTTTGAAGAGAGGCTGAGAGAGTTGGAGTTGTTCAGCCTGGAGAAGAGAAGTTCTTGACGGTGGTAGATCACTGGAACAGGTTGCCCAGAGAGGTGGTGGAGGCCCCATCCCTGGAGATATTCAAGGTCAGGCTTGGTGGGGCTCAGAGCAACCTCATCGAGAAACAGTGTACCTACTCACTGCAGGGGGGTTGGGCTGGATGATCTTTGAAGGTCCCTTCCAACCCAGTACATTCTATGAATCTATGATTCTGTGATCTGCTCAAGTGATTGTAGTTTGTAGTGTTGGTGAAACAGTTGTGGCTATAACAGAAGGTGTGCTAAAGCTTGAAATATGGGTTTTATGCCTTGTGAGCATACATGCAGTGTACTCTCAATGAAGCCATGCATGGGGGAAAGAACGAGAGAGGACTTCGAAAGTGGTGAGCAGAACCATTGGTTCTGCATGGTTCTTCTGAGTCGTGCATGCATCTGCTACACAGGGTGTCTCCTCTTTGGGCTCTGCTCTCCTCTAATCCTGAATAAGACTATGGTTTTACCCTCGGCTTTCTCTTAAGTGCTTTATGTATGCATTGTAAGCTAAGTTCCCTAGTGCTGGGGGAACCCAGTTCAGTACTCTGCAATTTATTTAAGTTTGCATTCATCGCTGTGTTAAAAATAAATTGTGGTTAATTATAGCTATAGCCTTTTCACTGAAAAGGCTTTGTGTAGAAATAATTATTTAGTGCTGAATATCTATTTTGTGTGTGTCATTCAGTGTGGCTGCTGCAATTTTTTAAAGATAAAACCACATTTTTTAAATGAGTGGAGGAAAGGATTTTTATTTTCCTGTTTCATGGCCATGGTGACATTGACTTTAGCTGTTAAATTTTTAGAAAGCTGCAACAATCTGTCTTTTTTCTCCTCATCACAATAACCATTTCAGTGTCAGAGAGCATATTTAATGCTTTGAATGTAGCTTGTGCCTGATACTACAGTGTAGTTGTCAGATTACATCTTAGCTGCATTTTAACAAGACAGCATTTACAGCTGTATTGTCTGTCTTTGTCATAAACAATCTCTTCCTTTGTCCCTTTTTATTTAAATATTTTCCAGATCATTTATAATTCATTGAGATTTTGATGATACATTAGTTCACCTGCTGGCAGTGGTAGTGCTATAATTTGGTTGATGATTACACTGTCAGTCATGGGATAATATTCTCAAATTCACATCTCTCGTATCACACCTGCAAAATCAGTGGGTGAAACAACTTGATTAAGGTCAAAATGATGACTGGCTGAGGTGTGACAGCCTACCAGAATCAGTTTTAGTCATGGAGAATGGCAGGAGCTTCCAATGCTATATTTTAGTGTGAGAAGGGATTATTAACCAGTCCGCCAGCAGCTAGTAGCATGACTGACAGCTGAGATATGGGTGCTAAAAGCCTCAGTAATAAAGAATATAAAAGTCTTTGGTATTTTAGGACTTTACATTTGCTTTGCTTTATTACTCATATCTCTACAAATCACTGTTGCAAGAGATTTTGTTGAATATAGGATTTAGTTTTCTATACCAATATGACTGAGTGAGTTTTGGTCAGATCAGTCTCTCATGTGGGCAAATAATAAATTAAATTAAACTACTGACAAAACCCCAGTGTGGTGTCAATCATGCTGTGCCAGCTTTTGTTTTAGTTCTTAAAGGATGTGTCGAAGGGTATGGCTAACTTTTTTCACCAAACTTATATGTATAATTTTGCAGTTAATTGACAGCAGTGACATTTTTAAGACTTTTTGGTTATGTCAGCAGACAGCGTGCAAGTGTAATAGTTCATGGAATAAAAACATCCTATGTAAAATGGAATGAATGCCAGACTGACTTAAAGTGATTGTTTCTAATAAATCATAGAATTACTAGTCTGTTTTCTATTCTGCATCTGCAGTGAGTTAAATGTATTCTGAGTGGATATTGCAAAGATGCATTTTTTTTGTTTAGTGCATTCAAAATTATATTTTTGCTGTAATTTGTTTCTTTCAGCTTGTGGAGAAACACTGCAAGAATCTACAGGCAACTTTTCTTCTCCAGGATTTCCAAATGGCTATCCTTCCTACACACACTGCATATGGAGAATCTCTGTGACCCCGGGAGAGAAGGTATTTTAACATTCCTCCAGCCAAATACAGATACTATTCATAATCTTGCATTTCTTTAGCTTTACTTTTAAGTTTAAAGCTTGCATAATAACTGAAAACAATGATATGCCACAAAAAATGGGACCATGAACTACTGACTTGCCTTTGGTCTGTGGCATTAGAATCACATCATCTATTTGGCAGCTGTCCATGTGAAGTGAAAGCATGATTTCAGTCTGCTACAAACTGGCTCTCAATACAGTTGGTGGTTCAGTGTAAATGTGAAAGAGGTAGTTCAGGCTGCTGAGTGGTCTCTTCTGCAGCACAGGCTCGGGCAAGCTGGCTGAGCTGTGTGGGGCTGATAGCTGGGACCTGCCTAAGGAAGCTCATAGTATGTTGAACGAGATGTTTCTAAAGTGAAACAGTAATAACATGGGGTAAAGAGTGTCATTGTAAGAGTTCCCTAGTATCAGTTCTAGTGCATATAGTTTTACTTTCTCGGCATCAGTTTTAGGGAAAAAATGGAAAAAATACTGCCTTCGTGATAGCAGTTCAGGAACAGAAGTATGCCATCACAGTGAAAGCAAAACCTGTTCTTCTTGTGTACACTTTAAAAACGTGCTAGGTGAATCTTGTTTTTCAATTATTGTTTCAAATATTAGCCTGCCTCAAAATAAATAAGGATAGAGGGAGTGATGGGAAGTTTCATGTGAGACAAAATATGCAGGGAAAAAAAAAGGATGTAAGTTTCTTTACAAGAAGTTGTGACTGATATTAAGCAGTCAAATACAGCCTAAAAACTGAGATAGAGAACCTAGCACTAGCCTCCTCAGTACTGGAGAGTCCAAAGAGGTAAACTCAGAATTTTCCCCTGGATATTTCGGGCAGTTTTGTGAGTAGTCTCCCACTTCGTAGTGGACATAGTTTTCTCCTGATTGGATTACTTTATTCTGTTTCTATCAGGTCAGAGTCCTGGTAGACACCAAGAATGCATGTTCTTGATGTGCTAATAGATCCTGAGGAGCTGTAAGAGCATTTGCCACTGTGGGGCATGAAAGCAAAGTAATTTGGAAAGCGTTTGCCCTCCTCTGGGCAATAGCCAGAGACAGGAGGAAAGATAAACACATTCTGTGCTCAGAGGACATGGGTGGCTCTGCAGGCTGGCGGGGAAAACCAAATTAAAACAGATGAATAAGAAAAGGTTTGCACAAAAGATGAAAATTAATCTAGATAGTTAGATCTACTACACCACTATTGGTGTTGCTTCTTAGACGCTGCTGTGATAACAACAAAAAATGACTTAGGGTTCTTTTCTGTTCCTCAGTTAAAAAAAAAAAATTGTAGTGCTCATCTGCAATTATTACTGGCTTTTGAAAACAATATTAATATACAAGTTAGAAAATGTTCATGCTTAAGTTTTGATAGCATATTTCAACTTTGTGTAAGCCTATCTCTGGTTAGTGTAACTGTAATATATTTGTAATACCACTAGGTCTTGAGATTGTAAACGACCACTGGAGCTGTACTATACTATACAAAAGCTTAATGGAGGAAAGCCTCTGTCTTGGTCAGCAATGTAAGATGACTCTTCCCATCCTACCTCCCCTCCTCAAATGGGGCAAAAGACTAAACATAGTTTTCTAATCAAAATTTGACATGACAAGTCATGTCTGTAGGGCACTGTTCTGACCTCCAGCTCTCATAGACTTCATTTAGTTTAGCCAGAATGACGTAAATTATACTTGAGCTAATGTCAAAAATTCTGTTTTGTCAGTGCTGTTCCCATAGGATATTGTCTGTTTTGAGATAAAGGACCCTATTTGCGGCAAGTACTTGATGTGAATAGCAGATAGCAGAAATGAGGTCTCAGTCATAACAAATGCATTTATCATGGTGCCTTGGACACACATTATGCTTGATCCTAAATTTTCTTAGCAAAAGATGACAATATATTCATGTTATGAAGGGAAAATAAAAATATATTTACGTTTTTTGTTCCTTTGTTTGCTGCTTTGACCCTGATAGATCTGAGGAATGTTGTGTGGAGGTTAGAGTACCTATAAGTACATCACATCATGTTCTGAAACATCAGTGAGCACTATAGTCACCTAAAAATAAACTGAAAAAGCATCAGTCCAGATTGTCTAGCTCTTGTCTCTTACTTATTGAGATTTACCATTGTACTGTTTGAGCATAGTTTAGAGGACTTCTATCCATGCTGCTTTCTGCAATACAGACACTTCTGATCTGTGTTGGTAGGAAATTCAATGAAGAACACGACTGCAGTGGTATGCACTAGCTACAGTATTCCTTTTATTGATAGACACCATAAATTTCTAGTCCAACATAAATGTGTGCGTCCCTATTACTAAAACAAGTCAGTTCATTCTTTTACTTTCTCTCAAGATTTAAGACTATGTGGTAAACAGCTGTACACAGCTTATCTATACACAGAAAAATCTCTGGGGGAGGATGGTGTTAGCAATATTGTATACCCTCTGCCAGGGCGAATCCTGCCTCCTGCCGTGTAGAAATTTTGTTGGCATAGGGAGTTGTGACTGTGCCAGTGTTTGTTTTTTTTTTTTAATAGGTTACATTACTTTCCAGTTTTCCATAATGTTTTCATGAATGATAAAATAGGACAGATAAATCCTTGGTTGATATGGGAAAAAATGCCACCTGCAGAAAACTTAGTGCAAAGTTTATAGCAAACCTGGTGTTTGCTATATATTTTGTGCTTTCTTACCCCATGCAGTAAGAGGTATGATACATTCTCTCTGAAGCTGCAGAAGCATAATTGAATCTGCTATGTAATCAATAATACCTCAATTATGCTGACAAATACCTATTGATTGTTTTTTCTATGAAGACTTTTGGCTATCCTCTCCCCTTGAACAAGCTCTGCCTTGTCTGTAGCTTTATTTATTACTTAACAGAATTACAAATCAGAATCTTAAATGTATTTATACTTGTTTGGTTCCCAACCAGAAATCATGCTGTGACAGATTGGGGTTCTCTCTATGTACAGCTAATGAATTCTGGTCAATGTTAAAGAATTGCTGTATCATCAAATACCTTGGCATGTCAGAGTGAGGAAAAAGCTGTGAAGGTTATTTCATACAGTTTCAAAGGTGGGGGCCACTGAGGAGGCTCATTAAATTGTAATGGTTTCTATTTAGATAGCAGCACTTTGAGACAATGGCATGATCCTACCTAAGTAAAACCTTCCTTTTCCTAACTAGTCTGGCAACTAAGGTTTAGAAAAAGGCAAAATTCCAAACAGAAAACAGAAATCTGATGTTTCAGCTGTGTGAACAGGCTAGGCTAGTTAAGAGAACTCCAGTCTCTACACAGCTGAGCCAATGGGGGAGGTATAGGATGTGGCTTCCGTAACTTACTTCCAACAGAGCCATCTGGGTTAGCTTAAGCAGCTGTGGAAGGTAGCTTGACCTTAACCCAGCTGTCTGCATCTTGTCTGGGTAGAGTAGAAGGCTCCCCTTTGTGAACTCCTGTGCCTGCACAGCTGTGGTAAGGTGGGCATGGGTGGAAAAGAACAAAGAGACTGCTGAGGGCAGTAGGGTTTTCAAATAGTACAGCTAGATAAAGAGATACCTACCTATGACCTGAAAAACTCAGGGAGGGGAAAAAGAAGGTAAGAGTTTAATAGGAATCTAAAGTGCAGTCTGGATGAGCTAAGGAGAAGAACAAAAATTTTGCAGTTGGTAAGACCTCTTTATTTGAAGGACAGGTTGAAGAAGAAACTGTCTGCACAAGACAGACAGAATAGCTGTGTGAGTGAGATATACAGATTCTCTCTGACATCCTCAGAGGTAGATTCAAATAGCACTTGGAAAGTTAATAAAAAATTGAAGCAGAGGAAAGCATATGAATGGTTGTACTTGTAGCCACATCTGCGTATTTCTCATGGAAAATAACATGGTAAGTAGGTGAGTTTGGAATTCTGATAATTGTGCATTTAATTCTTCAGTACATATCTCTGAAGGAGTGCCTGAATAGTAAGGGCAAAATGCCTTGTGGGTTAGACATCTGGGAAAGTGTGCATGTAAGCTAGAAGTTTGAGAGGTATAGCAGTTGCAAAAGCAAAGAAGTGACTTGTGAGGTTCCCTTTCTGGGAAGGAATGGCATGGCAAGTCCGCATCTGGGAAATGAGACAGGGAAATAGAAACAGAAGGCGCTGCAGTTAGTCTAAAATAGGCATGAGGGCATGTGGAGGGACGCAATGACAGTAACCTAGTGAATGACAGCTGAGAGGCTCAACTAATGCATTGATTCATGCTGTTGTTAGGTAAAGAGTGCAATAGTCTGGAAACTAAGTAGTATGGCGTTGAAGGATTTCTTTCGATTTTCTCAGTAATGCTGGAAAGAAAGCCTCTTCCTGTTTTGCAAAATTAAAAAAAAAAGTAAAATAATTCTTCACCAAGGTTCTGGTGAAAAACCAGCAAGGGGAAAATGAGAGCCATCTGAAGAGAGATGTAACTCAATAGTCGGATTGAAGATAGAGGTTGTTAGGTAGAAACCCAGATTATAACACTTGCTCTACTGAGAGTGCATCTGTAATGTGTGCTGCGCTACGTGAATCATTCCTGTTGTCCCTCTGCTTTTGAAGTTTGTTCTACTTAACCCGACTAGCCACATTTGAAATGGGAAAGGAGTCTTAAAATCTAGCTCACTGAACTTCCAGAGATGTAGGAGGCCTAGAATCAAAGGCCTCCTTTCCCCTGCCCCACTCACTTTCCTACCCACTCTAGCTTTAAAAGCACTGATTTATCTACTTTCTAGATAAAAACTCTTTATTATTCTAATTCACTGAATTATTAAATGGGTGAGCATTTAATGATCTTTTTTTATTTCCATGGTTAGGAACACATTCCCTGTCTACATAACACAAGATATTAATTGAACCTCTTTTTTCATTAGGACTTAACTTGCATTGTTTTCCAAAGTTCAGGGAAAGCATATCTATATTGAAAAATAGTTCAAGCTATTAGAATATCTATTAC